ACAGTTCACTAAAACTAAAAACTATAGATGTGCCGATTCGACTGGTATCGGTGCAGATGAAGGTTTTATGTTTCTGAAAGGTATCGGCTATGTTGAGCTTTATTGACCCGATCTGATCTTTTGTTTTACGTCAGCTATCTCCAGCTCTCCGCTGTCTCTGTCCTCCACTCTGAAATTAACTTCCTGTGTGTTCAGGACTACCTGCTGTGGAACCGTCTGGGTGCCACGTTGGCGAACGGAGACCGCAGCGAGGAGGCGGTAGAGGCTTACACCAGAGCCCTGGAGCTGCAGCCCGGATTCATCCGGTCCAGGTACAACCTGGGGATCAGCTGCATCAACCTCGGAGCTCACAGGTAACACACTGACCTGGTGGAGCCAGTCTGCACCTAATACTTATTGGAGAAATTAACCACTAGCTGTTGTATGAAAAGTAAAATGATGGACTAACTTCAGGGTTCATTTAGGGGTGTAAGATGTGAACATTAATGCCGTTGTCGGCAAGCCACGCTGCGCTAACGTTTCCAGAGCACCACCAAATCTAAAATCCAAAGTTTGGAAGACATTTGGATTCTATAAGAAGGAATGTTGGACAAGAGTCTGTCCATCTGTAAGATCTGTTGGACAGCAGTCCACATGGTGAGACGGCACAGCGACACCTGTACAGGTGACGAGGAGTCTGTGGATGCTAACACAGCTAGCAAAAGCAACAACATGCAAGATATTAAACAACCACAACTGGGCGAGGTTGGAGGTAATCACTGCAGGAAGCCTGTCTGTCTGTCTGTCTATCTGTCTGTCTGTTGGAATGGAATGTTAAGAACTGTATCAGATTGCATTGAATCACATTGTCTGTGAATCCTATCGTAGCCCAGGTATCTGGATACCTATCAGATACTCGTAAAGGGGCAGATGCACATCCCTAATTAATGTAAAGTCTTTGATAGGAATCTGTGGTGAAACGATAAAGTACACCACTAGATGTCACTAAATCCTTTACACTGGTCCTTTAAATAGAACCCAACCAGTACATTGGTTGGCTGATATTATGGGCCAGTTTTGGTCTATTGCAGACATAACAGTAACCACAGGAGCTAAAAGTACATACATTCTTCCTGACGGTCCGAACCATCAACTTTTGTTCTTAAATCTTTCTGAATCCAGTTCAGATTTTGCAGCGTTGCTTACAGTAGATCTTATGTGGTCCTGGTTTGATCCTGCAGGGAGGCAGTCAGTAACTTCCTGACGGCTCTGAACCAGCAGAGGCGGAGTCAGCGCTGCAGCCATCAGCAGATGTCGGCTAACATCTGGGCCGCCCTGCGAATCGCCATCTCCATGATGGACCGACCCGAGCTGTTCCAGGCCGCCAACGTCGGGGACCTAGACCTGCTGATGAGGGCCTTCGACGTGGGCGATGTGTGATGGCGGAGACGGGCGGGACAGTTTGGTTTGAAACCAAAGAGCAATGGTGGAAAGCAATAGAACAGCACAACCCTTTAGCTTCCTGTAGGAACACTTCCTGTTTGTAATGCTGATGGCGAGACGTTCGGGGCGCCGACGCCTCCTGAAAAAGTCCTCTAATGTCTTCAGTTCACTTTTCAAGATTAGGCCTTAAAGCCATGAAGAATATGAGTTTATAAAGTCTTAATTTAAAGAGAAACTGAACAGCTCCTGTAGCCACACCCACCAGTGATGTCACAGTGTATCTGGAGTACATTTCTACATCACTGAGTTCAACCACTGGACACTGTTCAGTTGCTCTTTAAAGGTTCTTTATTTTCTAGTTTGTTTC